GGGCCTAAGTTGATCAATGTCTCTCCTCTAAATAACACAATTATCTTATTGATCTCAATCATTACTGAAAAAAGTCTCTTAGTAAGATTATTTCTACAGAATTATTATTTTAGAGTCTTAAAAATTCATTGTGTGATCCAGATGAATAACACGGGCTAAGTGACTAAAAGAACGTTTCAATAGCTTGCAATCACTTTTATTGCCAGAAATCCTTGTTTTCGAGTTTTGTCAGGTTTCCATATTCGTTTCACAACTCTGTTCATATGTAAATTAATATCATTTTTATTTTTTCTAAATTTATTTGTGATTATATTTCGATTGTAGTCATGAAAAGGTCATAATATATATCCAACTTGGCACAGTAAATAAGAGTTCACTCTACGACAAGAGTTTTTTCTTTTTACACGTTTTAGCTTCCGCTTCAAAGCCATTTTCAAGAAAGTATGGCTACATTGAAGTCTCAATCTGGTTTTACATCTCAGGTTCTGAGGTTTTCAAAGGTTTTTGACTTGACCCTGGGGTCTCAATCTGCCCCCTTAGAAACGACTGTAGATCATCAGTCCTCAGGCCCTGATTTGGTATTTATGATAGATAGGTGGACCGTTAGTGGGACTGAGATCTTATCGGGAATATTTCGGATGTTGAGGAAATTTCATATAGTGCTGATGATGGAGAATTAGCGAATGAGTGTCTGCGGTGGTGTGAAGTTTAATGGACGTTGAAGAGTTTGAGGGGTTTTAGAGGACCTGAGTGAAATGTGTGGTATTTAGGTTGGATTTTCATTGTTTCCAGTTGAATAAGTGGAGGTCATTTCGGTAATGGGTGCGTGTGTATTTGTATTTGTATGTATGTGCGCTCTTGTCTCAGTCTAGAGTCAAAAATGAATTGTTAAAACCTAATCTGATCACTACTAGGTTGGTATTCGGTTCAATTTGTGAGGTTGCAGTCAATAGCTGGGCTGTTACAAAGAAAACTCTTTGTTATATGTCAAGCTTTCGGTATATTCCACACCTTCGTCAGGACAACTACAATAATAAGATTATATATCTNGAAACAGCGGCTTAAACACTTGCCTCATTGCAAATTGACTTCAATAACTCATTTGCAAGTTTGTTAATATGTGTTTTCTAGGAAAGGCTACTCCTCAAGTAACACCTTCATTTCGTTTCCATATTCAACACTGATTTGTTGGATTGGTTAGACTGGCATTGCAGAAAAAAAAGACTACTTGCTGTGCTGTGATATCGAAGGATTCGACGGTACCACGGGCATTAGATTAGTTGTAATAAACGGTCGGAAATTGATATTGTGTTTAGTTTATTTGCTGTTGTTATTATTGATTTCAGTTTTTGTAGTTGGTTACAAGTAATTTACCACAAAATATTCTATAATAACCCTAAATTTCGTTTTTATATGAGCACACGCCTATGGTGAGGGAATGAAATTAGCTCCTCACTTTGTTTCGAGGTCATCGAGAACTTTGTGAATTTATGAATGAAAGTGGTGGGAGTGGATTTACTAGTTGATTTTGACTGTGTTTGAATTTTATTAACATTTTCAGGTACGTGATTGTGGAAAATTTGAGGTACATGTTACTTGGCATTGATACACAGAAGCCAATTTACTTCGGAGCCAGATTCAAACCATTCATCAAACAGGGATATATGAGTGGAGGTGCAGGATATGTTCTCAGTAAGGAAGCATTGAGAAAATTTGTAGTTGTGAGTAAAAAAATACATTTTGCTCATTCATAATTTAGTATCAGGATATTGAATGGATTTCATGCAATTTCATTTTTGTTTATATTTATTTTATTGCTTGCCCGGTCTATTCGAAATCATATCCAATTTCTGACAATATTGGGACCAAGCGCATGCGCGAACAGTGAACCAACAGTTCGAAAGTAGCACGCTATTAGGCTATTAGTCTGGACGCAGCATTGAAATATTGAAGTTCAGTTAGAGGTTAGAGTCTTTGTGTTGTATTGTCAGTGAAGTAATGAAATAAAGTTGGGTTTAATTGTACAGTGTGGTTAATTATTGTGGAACCTACAGGGAAAGACGAAACTATAGTATTATTTCGATAAATATGGATATTGAGGTTGTCAGCTGCTCAAGGTGTAAGATTACCACCTTATTGACCGCTGCTACCTTTCTCTAATAGGACATTTATAAGTCACTCATGCAGGGCTCTGGTTTGAGCGTGAGCATTTGCTGATCTGCTCGGAGGGAGTTTGTTTTTTCTCCTGATGTAGATTCTGCTTTCATTGCTCAACAATTTGGCGCATAATATATCTTGCATTTGATTAGGCTATAAGTCGCTCCCCTGCCGCACCATCTAGCCTCATGAATTTGCTAACAGAAAAAAGTACTAACTATGCTCTTGTTTAATCTCAACTTGGAATCGTGCAAAAAATAGCAAATGAACGGTTTTATACTGCAGAAGAGGGCAATAAGGTAGTTATGTGAAGGGCAATACAATGAACATTGCAAATCTTTGCTTATCAATCATCCTGTTTCAACTTTCAGTCTAAACACTTCAGAACACAAAATGCCCAATGACAGAATTCATAACACTCGATGACTAAATGAGGTACGATTAATATTGGAGGAATATTAGAGGAAAGTCGCCTAATATGGGGGTAGTGCGACACCTATTGTGAACATTAAAAACTAACCGCCGAGTTCCTGGAAAGCGCCCATTCACGTTTTGGAGCAAACTCGTGATGCGTTTCGACGACTCAGGTTATGGTAATTTTGTGTATGAATAAAAATTTCTGGTGACTGTTGCATTTTAGATATTTAAGGAAACTTAAAGGTAAGTTTGTAAAACTTAATTATATCATTCAATACGGAATTTGGCGTAGTTTATGGAAATGGTTTTGGTTTTTTTAAGAAAACATCACAGTTTTTTCACAAACATTCCCTTTCAAAAAATCTAATTTGCTCGTAATATGGGATACCTATCAATTCCTAATTTGGGGTACCCCATATTAGGGGACTGTGTAATTTTCCGTGTAAAAGTAAAGTATTTTCTTTCAGATGCCTAAAAAACGAAAAGTTTGGAACAAGGAACGAATGATTTCAGCAATTTCAGCTGTTCGACAAAGCGAAATGGGTGCGCAGACCCACGGTATACCTCAAACGACTTTAGAAAAGTATGTAAAGATGAAGGGAGCACCTGAAAATATACATTTATCAGTATTTTTTTGTAAGACTCGAAAGTCTATGATGAAACAATATAAATTCAATTTATCAGGTACACAAATACAAATACATATCTGAATATAAATATCAAATATACCTATTGTTACAGGAGCAGGAGCAGGAGCAGGTATTAAATTTCCCTCAGTTATCTCAAAGGTTCGATTTTATTCCATCCTTTTTATAAAAGAGTACCTATGGTTCTCCACTCACAAGCGATTTTGGTGAAATTGGTGTGAATCGTTGTATTTGTGCCACTTGCCAGTATACAGGTGTCTGCAGTATGCTGAATAATGCCCTCTGTAAATAGTCCCACCGTGATTTAAAAGTGCATATAGATTATAACAACAAGTAGGCACATTTTCTGCTGAAAAATTGTCCATATCCAATTCATCTAGAGAAAATTTGATGACAACATTCAATTCGCCTCTAAATCTTTCTGTTGGAGAGAATTTTTTTAAATGAATTACTAAAATATTGGATAACTTGTGGATTGCATTTCAAACACGTCGGTTTTTCATTTTCATCCAAAGTTTCTTCTCTTGTGAACGAATCCAAGCATTGCCACAAACTCAAATGGTCGGTTCTTTGTGGTATGGAGAGAGACAAATCCCAGAAAAGATCCAATGTTACTGATAAGTATCCACAGTGTGTGCATTTCATCGTAGATTTCAATTGACCAACGAAATTATCTACAATCTCAGAGTTATGCATCCTCCAATATGTGAGCTATGAATCTTGTGCATTTCCGCTGTCGCTCAATTTTTCTTCCATTTCTGTAAGGATTGTTTTTTTTTGTACCTTGGGAGCTGTTTGACTTGTCCATTCAGTCCAAGTCTCCAGAAAATACTGCAGCCTCTTGGGCTTATTGCGTTTATTCTCCCCTCTTCTTATGACACCCATTTCATCAGTCTCGTTCCCTGTATTAGTTTGTACAGGTTTCGTGTTGGATGTTCGTCATATTCTTCTGGGCGTAATTTTGTACGTCCATATATTGCCTGCCTCCTGTGATTCAGTGCCTCACATTCGGATAAGATGTGTAGAGCTGTTTCTGTCCCTTCGTTGCATAATCTGCAGCTGAGGTCTCCGTTGTGCAGCCCCATTTTATTTAGGTGTCTTCTAAGCGGACAATGACCGGTTAGTAACCCAGTAATTATTCTGAGCCGATCCCTACTATATTGAAGTAGTTCTTCGGTTCTTTTCTCGGACGGTTCCCTAATGAAGGTTCTACTGTGTTTGTTGCCAGGTACTTTTGTCCAGTACTCTGTGTGCTTCTTATTGATCCATGTCCTAATCTGGTTTCGTACCAATGATTATGGTACCCCGAGAGCTGGTTCAGGACCTATATATTTGAAGTTGATGATCCGCATCATCAGCTTTTAGGATTGGTTTAGGTTTCTCATTAATTGTATTAACGTCTTCATGAAAACCTTCTGAAAGATAACGAAGGAACTCCTGGGCGTCTTGATGAGTATTACCCATGAATCGAGGAGCAAAACGTTGAATCTGATTTTTTTAGGCGGCTGTATTTACTACTCTATCAAATGAATCTTCTGATCACAATTCCTCGATGACACCTGCAAACGCTTTGATTAAAGCACCCTCCATACTAAAAACACTAGTATTGATATCTTTCATGAATTCATACTTCTTCAAATATTCCAATAACCATCTCGTGTTTGATAAACATTTGATTACGCTGTTCAAGAAACAGGTGTTGCCAATATTCTTCAACCCATTTAGCCCAAGGTTTTTGACTGAAGAATTTATTACTGGACAATTTGAAATATCTTTGAAACCCGTTTCAGAATTTTGCTGAGAGAAAGTATTTTTCACATTTCATCATGAAAATTGTCAATCACCTTTAAACAAAAGTGCATAAAAACAGTTCACCATCTTTGGAAGTCCGCCATATTGTATTTGAAGGGATGTCATTTTATTTTCCATATTAAATTGAGCAATCACTTTTATTTGATACCCAATTTATAGGATGCATAAATTACATAATGAAGGACCGACCACCATCTTGGCCGGTTCNAAGATTTTCAGCAGCAGTGTTTGGATTTGCTACTGGAATCATTACATGGTTGTCCAGGGTATAGCCTGAATCATCTACAATGAAACTATTTCCATACATCCCACCGTTGAGCTGAGCCTTCAATCAGCTATTACTGTAAATGAGTCTATCATTAGCTGATCCTGGCCAGCGAGCAACTATATTCCTTATGTATAATCACTTGAAATCACTTGAAAAAGATAATATTTTAGCGAAACATGTTGTGATATATTTTTCAAATAAAGTTTGTGGAGATCAAATCGTCAGGTGTAGTTTTTGAAAATCCTTATGTATAAGTTAGCATCAGACACATTCTGAACATTAATTGAAAATTAGCCTTTCCTATTACGAAAGTTTTCAGCATTTTCTCCACCTGACCAATTGACCAGTTTCTGTTTTTAGAGACTATGGAGTTGTATTCACGAAGACACATCTCAGGAATCATTTATATTATATATTCTCACCTGGAGATTGAATCCTAATATGGGTGCAGTCCACAGCACCAATAACATTAGGAAAATTGGCTATATTCTGGAAGTCTGTTTGGGTTTCCTTCAGTTCCTCATTCGTCATAGGCATCCTAATATACATAGGTAACAATCTCGCTATTTCCCTTGATACATCACGAACAACATGTGATGCTGTGCTAGTGTCAATTCCTCCAAAGTCTGCCGCTACATTGAGCATGATGCCTGTAACATAAAACCTTAATGCTACCAGAATTTGTGTCAATGGAGTAAGAGTATGATTCCTAAAATGAAATAATACAATGGGCTCACTTAAAGATAATGTATCATTATTAGTCATTGTTGTTATTCAAAAGAAATACTCAGTGTGGCGTATTCCTATGCAAATTCAGGCCAATTTCTTGAATTAATACCCCTACAGATGCTTTCGACATCCTGAACCTATTGATAAATTCCTGGTTTATCCAAATGTCCATGGTGTCGATTCGCGGTAGAAAAAGTCGCGGTCTTCTTGGGTTTTCCTTTTCAAATAATACATCTTCAAATATGTCCATTAAGAAAACATGAAAATATCTGGGCGCGTCAGGTTATAATACATGAATTAATCACAAATAGTTGACACATCAGTATTCAATCCGAACATGTGTTTAGTGTTTAACCGACGCTTGTAGTTTAACTGCCCCTCCATCCATCCGTTGACAGTTAAACTCCGAATGGCAGTCACAAACACCTATACAACGAATTTTATTCGTTAAACCAAAGTTTAACTAAGACTCGTGGTTTAAACTGAACTTATACAAGTGGGCCTAAGTTGATCAATGTCTCTCCTCTAAATAACACAATTATCTTATTGATCTCAATCATTACTGAAAAAAGTCTCTTAGTAAGATTATTTCTACAGAATTATTATTTATTCAAAAACAGATAGAAAAACATGAAATAATGACAGTTGGTCAAAATTTGACTGACATGTCAAGTGGGAAAATTCTGAATAATACTCGAATTACTAGATCTTTTATTTTCTTCATCATATTTCAGTAGGTATGTGTAAATTTCGCTGAGACTTTCAATATTAGTTCTGTTATTCATTGAATGTTCTTCGTGATTGATATGTATCATTTCCAAAAATATTTTTTTAGTCGTATTGATTTCTCTATCTAAAATATGTGGGTTTTCAAAATTCATTTTATGATTCTCCGAATTAACATGTTATGTTAATGCACAATAATTAACAATTCGTCTACAGGCGCTCTTAGAATCTTCTTATTGTTATCCACAGCCACTATCATATTCATTTCAGGAAGCCATACCAAACAAAGCAATTTGTAGACAAGACACTGGAGGTTCTGAAGATGTTGAAATTGGAAAATGTCTTGCAGCTGTTAATGTAGAAGCTGGAGATTCGAGGGATCCAGAGCATAGAGGAAGGTTTTTCGCTTTTTCGCCGCTTCACCATCTCATTCCTGGACACGTAGATAACAAATTTTGGTACTGGAAGTACATATATTATAACGAGTCTCAGGTTAGTAGCTACAGATTCAATTGAGTGTATAAATTGACTTATTAAAAATGAACTTTGGAGACATCCCCATTTTCCATTTCATGGTCAGGATAAATTGAAGAGTTGAAAAATAAGATATATTCACATTATAGCACAAATCAATTCAGAAAGAGTAATACTTCGAAAAAAACATCGTTATTGTAGAAGAAGAGCAACCCAGTTTGCATTCATGAACTCACTTCCGTCGATAGAGCAGAGTTTTTTCATGAGATTAGAAACTCATTACCTTTTTTCTGGCGTAACGAAGTTTTGATATAACTATCTTATACCTCAATAGAAAAAAAACTGAATATATTCTGCAGATTTCAAGAACAGAAAAAGTAGAGAGTTTTGCACCGATCAAAACTAGTACCTTCACCTTGCATGCTATTACAGCGGGCGTAAGTAACTGCTCAAAAGTTGTCAAAATCCACGACGAGCAAAAATTGTCCCACAATTTTTAGTAAAAATTGGGAGTACATGTCGTGAATATATAAATCAATAAATATCTTATGTTCTATTAAGATAATTGTATGTTTTTTCAAATAATGATAATGCGCTGATTCATTACTAGAAAATATGGTATACTGGACTGTATAAATCAAAGATCTGTTGGCAGTGAAAACGTTCAACTCCAATAAATGAATTGTACAGAGTGGGTAAAATGTGCACGCTCAAAAGGAAACTCCTGTTTTCAAACTAGATGAAT